TTCTTTCAAGGAGCATAGCATTTAGAGGTGTGCAGGTGCTGAGCCGAGATGTTCTGGATTCAAATCTTACGTTGAGCACCCTTGGTTGGGCACAATTTGTTTAGACAAACTACTTAATCTCATCGAACCTGTTCTTTCTCACCTGTAAAATGCAGATAGTAACAGTTCCACTATCTCATAGGGTCTGGGGAGGATTAAATGAGGCAACATTTGCAAAACGCTTAGAACAGAGCTTGGCACCTAGTAGGCGTGCAAGCAGTGTTATTTATTTTTCTACACAAATAGACACCCACATTTCTTTTTTTTTTTTTTAAAGATTTTATTTATTTATTTGACAGAGAGAGACACAGCGAAAGAGGGAACACAAGCAGGGGGAGTGGGAGAGGGAGAAGCAGGCTTCCCGCTGAGCAGGGAGCCCGATGTGGGGCTCGATCCCAGGACCCTGGGATCATGACCTGAGCCGAAGGCAGACTTAACAACTGAGCCACCCAGGCGCCCCAGACACCCACATTTCTTTTCCACTAAATGGTTTTATATTATAAATACTGTTTCATAGTCTGCTTTGACCACTTAGGAATGTGTTACAAACATTTTCCTGTGTTAGTAAATATTTTTTTACTACATACACAGGATCCTTGAAGTAAAGCTGCTGCAGGTGTTCTGAAGCGCGAACTGCCATACTTGCGCAGCACCTGAGCTTGGCGCTCTGCGCACAGCAAGAGAACTAAGAGATCAGCAACCGAAGCAAAGTGAAGGCAAACGTCCTCAAAATGGCCAGGAGCTGATGATGTCGCCTGGCAGCTGCGCCCACAGGTCAGGTCATCTCTGCTAGGAAGGCTGCGTGTGAGATGTGCAGACAGGTAAATGGTGCACTCAGGAGGGAAAATGCAGAAAGTGGTGAGCAGAAGCCAGGAGGCTGAGAAGAGATTAGAAAGGCTGCTCATCCACCGTGGAAGACAGGGGCCACACTGCATTCCTGCTGTCGTTCCAGCCACCGTGGGCGGGGCCTGCCTGCACCCTGTGACCCAAGTTTCGAGTCCCGCACGGCCTGGCTGGACAGCTGCTGTGACCCTGCCATATTCTTCCTCATCAGAGAGACCTACAAGTATGTTTAGTCCTGAAAACCCAAAAGAGCCTACCTCGTATTTATGGGGCTGCTCTAGTAGTCCCGTCAATAACTGAAACGTTTATTTTGTTAGGTACTTGCTATGTGTTAAGCACTGAGGATTAAACAATGAGCAAAAAAGGATGGTACTCGACTATACCAAATGTAAAGTCTAGCATAGAAGACAATTAATCAAGCAGTATCATAGCATGACAGACACCACAATGCTAGAAGTACAGACCGCAAGGGAAACACACAGGAAGAACAGTGAGTCCTCTATCAAAGACTTGACGGAGACTGAAAGAGCCTTCAGGCTGAAGGTTAAAGTTAGTCAGGTGTGCCAGATACTGCAGAGTGTTCGCTCAGTACACACTCCAGCCCTGTGTGGACTCTACAACCACCAGCCTTTTGAAGTTACAGTGTCTTGATAGAGCAACAGCGGACTAGATCAGCATTTCCAACCAGGCCACCCAAGAGACGTGGCCTCACTTAACAGAGAGGGCCTGGTTTCTTTGGTGGGTAAGTGTCTTTCAATCCTGGAAATATTTAGAATGAAATATAGAAATGTTTAAGAGAATCAAAATCATAAGATACTTCTCTGTTAAGAAGGAGACCAGACATATTTTATGATTTTGTAATGTGTAAAAGAATCTGGCCTAGGGCGCCTGGCTGGCTCAGTCAGTAGAGCACGCGACTCTTGATCTCAGGGTCATGAGTTTTGAGCCCCACACTGTGCACAGAGATTACTTAAAAACAAAAAACAAAAAATCTTGGCCTATTAGATTGTAACTTTGGTTTTAAAATATAATTGAATAATTTCTTTCTGACTTGTGTTTTTAAGTTGAAAATCTTAGTAAGTTTACATATATTATGAGAATAAAAAATCTAAGACTCACCTCATTTGTAAGGTTTTTTTTTTAAATATTTATTTACTTAAGCACTCTCTACACCCAGCGTGGGGCTTAACTCAAAACCCTGAGATCAAGAGTCGCATGAGCCACTGACTGAGCCAGCCAGGAGGCTGTAAGTTTAATATATGAGATTCACAGGACATTTTGTTGAAGAGCTTCATCAGATTTTTATTTTTTAAGTCAGACAACTGAAGTTCTTTAGAAAGCACTTCTATTTAGCTGTATGAATCCAATTTGAAATCTCTGAAGCTCTTCAATTAACTGTTCTATTATCCAAAAGTGACTAGTAAAATCTTCTATGTTTATATATAGAGCAATCAGAGCTATAAGCATTATGAAAAAAACTAAGTTTTTGAATGTGTACTTTACAAAAGTCGTAACATTTTGAAATCTAAGTAAACTCCTGAATAGTGATTTCTGCTTACAAAAGCTACCCTTCAAGGGCAATTAAAAAAAAATATATATATATATATATATATATTACATCCTCTCTGATTCCAAGTCTTGTACTCTGTTGATGGATGTGAATTGGAAAAACCATCCCATTTTATTTTGATAGAAGCCACTGGAATGTTTGTTTCTGTAATGACATTTCACTAATTTTTATTGTTTGTGCAAACATTTGATTTATTTGGTACCGTATTCTAAAGTTGCAAGCAGTTCTCAGACATTTATCCTTTCAATAATGCTGGAATAAAGTATAGGGTGTGGTATGACTCCTCTGACTTCCTCAGAGTCGAGCAGGGTTTAATTTCAAGCACGGGACCCCACGTGGACAGGAGGGAACGGGGATCCTGAACATCTGAACAGGACAGGATCTGTTGTCTGTGCTGTCACTACCCTCTGCCCCACCCCCACTGCAGCCTCCCTCTCACCGGACTGAAGGGCCAGACAGCATTTCCAGGAAACAAAGGGTTAAGAGGGCGCCCTACACCCTTTCCTGCCCTTCACTGCATTTCTACTCCAGTCACCTAGTTCTCTCCATCTTCGCTGCACGTGTATAACCCACGGATGAGTCAACCGTAATAACTCAGAATCCAGCAACAGTAACGGCAACTGATATAAGCTCTCCGGAGAGAGATGCCAAATCCATGTGCTCCACAAAGGTACGGAGGTCAGATCGGCCCCAACTCCTACAACCAAGTAGCAAGTTTTGCACAAAGTCTCTGAACTTTTCTCCTCTTTATTCTAGAACCATCACTGTATTTCAGGTCTTCCGACCACCTTTCTGAATCTACCACTGTCACGGAAGCTCTTTCAAACATCACTTTTGCTTTAGGTGCCTTAGATCCTACAGGAGTCAACTGACCTGAATTAAAGTTACGCAGCTTAGGTCCACCAATTGATCCTGCCACTTACCTGAATAGTCAAGCCTCCAGAAAGGAGCAGGCAAAGATTCTGGTGCGCTCAGGCCTAGGAAGGCAGAGTGCAGAATCACATCTGCCCCTCCAGGCCACGGTACTCCCGAGCATTCCCCATTATCCCAGCTCTAATAAGAAAGGAGGATACCAATTCTTACTACGTGAGAATCCCTGTCACATCCTCTCTGACAAGATCTATCTCTCCCTACACTCAGATCATTTCCATTAAGGACATCTCTTCAGGACTTTTACTGTTCCATCCATTGCTCCACCTGTCACAGAAGCATGTATTAATTACTTTCACCTAGCTGTGTAGTGGGCACACACAGGGAGGATTTAAACTACAAAACATACTTTTTGGGGGCGCCTGGGTGGCTCAGTTGGTTAAGCGACTGCCTTCGGCTCAGGTCATGATCCTGGAGTCCCGGGATCGAGTCCCACATCGGGCTCCCTGCTCGGTGGGGAGTCTGCTTCTCCCTCTGACCCTCTTCCCTCTCGTGCTCTCTATCTCTCATTCTCTCTCTCTCTCAAATAAATAAAATCTTTAAAAAAAAAAAAAACATACTTTTTGCTCTCAGAGATTATAGTCTAGTTATGGACACCAGATATATGATAAAATGACAAGGATATGAGCCAACACAAGTCTGTAGGACTTCAGAGTGAGGAAAGAATTCCTTAAGTATTCCAAGGGTAAGATTAGTTTCAGAGGACTTCTGCCAAGGGCTGAACCCAAAAGAAACATAGGATTTACACTTGTTCTTAGTGCTATTTTATATGTCCTTAGAATCAGTTTTAAATTCCCTCTGGAACAAAGAAAAGCACTAGCCATGTGGCCAGGGCAAGTAAATGCGGGTGATAAAACTTACACCACCTCGTTAGGAGTCTTCAGTGAAATAAAATAACATAAGCAGAGCACAGCACAGTGTCGCCACAACAGGCTATGGAGGAATGTTATTCCTTCCTCCTGGTCTTGAACTGCAATCTGTTTCTCAGTTTCCCCAATCAAACCGTAAGCCCTTGAAGTAAGGGAACGAAGGGTCCCAGACTTTACTTCTTCTGACTACTTATTCTAGAGGATCTAATAAGATATACTGGGCATGGCCCAGGAACTCAGTACATATATGCTGCATATCGTGTGACTAAATAACAAAGAAGATACTATTAGCTCTCTAACGGCACTACTAATAACAGAACTGCCGCTTCAGCCACTGTTCTATGGCCAGGACCCAGGAAGCAGAGGAGAACAATGGCCTCCTCCTCCTCCTCCTCATTAATGAGAAAGAGTCATTTCTATCAACGATGAACTGTTTGTTCTTGATCTTCTATCCCAGGTAACAGAGGCAATGCTGAAAGAGCTCCAAGGCAAATCACCAAAGACTGTCTGATATAATTAGATACAGTCACTACTGGAGCCTTCTCCCTGCACAGAGTGTCCAACACACATCACCATGTCACAACCCAAACACTCCTTTAATCAAGGAAGCACATGGTAACCGTTAAATGCCTTCTTTCTGTGTTCATCAGTATGTTTATTCAGTGAGTGGTGATGAATTAAAGAACTCCGCAGACATGACAGATGCATGATTACAAGGTCCTGCCATGCCCTTCTTTCTGAGCACATACCTCCTCACAGACTTCACGGGCTGCTGCCACACTCGGCTCCTCCTCGGGCTCCATGCCTCCCCCAGGGACAATCCAGCGGTCTGGGTGGCGACTACTGCTCACGAGTAACACCTGAAAGTCACAGAGGTCACATGGACAGTTAAAAAGAAAAAAGAAACATTTGGACAAACTCAGACTCTAAACAACACAAAATAGAAGCACCCGAGACCTACTTTTTGTTTATACCTCTCCAGGTCACTTGTAGGGTAGCTTTCATTTCTAGTGGAAAGAGTAGACAATCCACCTTATAAAAGCAGGACATCTGAACCAGTGGCCACTACGTCTACCTTCCTTCAGGCTCTCGGGCACTTGTCCTGTCTATCCTCTCCTTTGTTCCTTTCCCTAAAGATCTTTGAACACAGAGTTGACAAGGGCCAGGGGTGGGCGGCGTAGGGGGGGTTAGTGGAGAGTACTGATAAGCCTGAGCACTGTGAAGGGCTGGCCAGAAGCAAAGAAATCCTTAGCCCTGGTTGGCATCATAGTCCCAACGCCTTCCCTCCCAGGCTGTCACTCCCATGTGTTCCAGCTCCTGGTCCATCCAATGGCCACAAGCCAATACAATGCACCACCCTAAGTTCTAAGTGTGCACTGAGAACCCAACTCCCTCATTTACATGTAAAGTTGGCAAATTTCATCATGCTTTCGGCTGAGACAAAACCAGAATTTTTTTTACTAGGAAGTTTTATTAAGAAATGAGAAGACAACCAACCAAACACACCCACAAAATCCTGATACAGACTATGGTTTACTAAGGCAAATTTCACTAGCATTCTAGTTATGGCTGAAATAAAATCCTAGAATGTCTCCAGCTACTTTTCCTTACCCCTCTCTAGGGCAGATGCTAAACAGTTAGCTGGACTCCTCCTCTGGAGGTAGAATTAGGTTGGCATTACTTCCAAAATGAAAAGAATCCTCTACAGCTCCTTACACCATTGCTTTCTGACGAGCTCTTTTGAGCCTCCATCCCTATTCCAAACGTAGTCCCCCTGGGCACTTCACTTCTACTCTGCAGTCATCCTTGTCGCCTGGAAGAAAATGCTATGTCCTCTGTAGCCCCTACAGATTCCACCACTGCCTTCCAGTGACCTACCTTCCAGTCCTCTCCCATCTCTCCCTTGAGGTTTCTGCAAGTATATGGGCCCTTGGAAATTCTACCTTTTTCATCCTTAATCCCTTTTCTTCATGTCATGATAGAGTCAGTCTCCTGATGCTCCTCTACAAAATCTGTGATCTGCTGACTCAGTGAGGACCATGGAGTTAAGAAGGAAATCCATGAATCCATATACAGTCACCAATATATAGTCCATGGATGGAGAAAATAATATCTTTACATTTATAAGCACTATTTTTTAAGTGTGTGTAGGTTCTAGTTTGCACAATTCAGAATAATTTAAAATAATATATGAAACCCACAGAGAGTTTTGGGGTGGTGTGTAAATATAAGGGATATTAAAAGTATGATGTGGAAGGTTCTATGAAATTTTGTTTTTAAAATAAAGAGTCCTCGGGGCGCCTGGGTGGCTCAGTTGGTTAAAATAAAGAGTCCTCATTGTATTCCCACCTCATACCACATACAAAAATTAACTCCAAATGGACCAACGATCTAGATGTAAGAGCTAAAACTAAAAACAGCGATAAATCTGAGGTGCCTGGCTGGCTCAGGCAGTAGAGCGTATGACTCTTGATCTTGGGGTCACGAGTATGAGCCTCACTCTGGGGGTAGAGTTTTACTTACAAAAATAATTTAAAAAATAAAAGATAAACTGCGATAAATCCTCATGATCTTGACTTTGGTAAGATATCCCGAATTCTTAGACATGACACCAAAAGCCTGAACAACAAAAATTAGACAAATTGGACTTCATCAAAATTAAAATCTTCTGTGCATCAAAGGACATGATCAAGAATGTGAAAAAACGACTTAACAAATGGGAGGAAATATTTGCAAATCATCTATCTGATAAGGGTCTGCTGTCCAAAATATGAATACATAAAAATACAAAAAATCTTACAACAATAAAAAGACAAGCAGCATTTCTCCAAAGATCTACAAATAGCCAAGGAGCACATGAAAAGATGCTCAACATCATTAGTCATCAGGAAAGTGCAAGGTAAAACTGGCGTGAGATACCACTTTACACCCACAAGAATGGCTATAATTTTAAAATAACAAGAACTGGCAAGGGTGTAGAAAAATTGGAACCCTCAAACATTGGGTAAGAATGTCAAATAGTTCAGACGCTGTGGAAAGTTTGCAGTTCCTCAAAAGTTAAATAAAAAACTACCATAAGGGGCGCCTGGGTGGCTCAGTCAGTTAAGCATCCAACTCTTGATTTTTTTTTTTTAAAGGAAAGACAATTTTTATTTTATTTTTTAATTTTTTTATTTGACAGAGAGAGAGACAGGGAGAGCAAGAACACAAGCAGGGGGAATGCGAGAGGGAGAAGCAGGCTTCCTGCCGAGCAGGGAGCCCAATGCGGGGCTCGATCCCAGGACCCCGGGATCGTGACCTGAGCCAAAGGCAGACGCTTAATGACTGAGCCACCCAGGCGCTCTCAACTCTTGATTTTGGCTCAGGTCATGATCTCCTGGGAGTGAGACTGAGCCCTATATCAGGCTCTGCGCTCAGTGGGGAGTCTGCTTGAGGTTCTCTCTCCCTCTCACTCTGCAACCCCACCCCTGCTCTCTCTCTCTCTCTCAAAAAAATTACCAGCTGATTTAGCAATCTCACTCCTAGGTATATACCCTAAAGAACTGAAAACAGGTGCTCAAATACTTATATACATAAATGTTCACAGAAGTATTATTCACTGTAGCCAAAGCATAGGAACAACTTAAATGTCCATCAATGAATGAATGGCTAACATGGCATACACATGTGCAGGAAGAGTCCTCACATTAAAAAGAATGAAGCACTGATACATGCTACACAGTGGATCAACTTTGAAAACATGAAGCTAAGTGAAAGCCAGACTCCAAAAGTCACATATTGTAAGATCCTACTGATGTGAAAGAGATAGAAAGCAAACTGCTGGTTGCCAGGGACTGGGAGAAGGGAAGATTGGAGAGTAACTGCTTAATGAGAGTAGAGGATTTTGTTTGGGACTGATCCAAGTGTTTTGAAACTGTATAAAGGTTGCTAAATGCCACTGAATTAGTGGTACTAAATGCCACTGACTTATTCACTTCTAAATGGTTGTCATGTTATGTTAACTTCACCTCAATAAAATAAAACTGGTATTAAGATCACAGTAAATTTTAAAAGCTAAATTTAGGAGTCAGTGCTACTACTTTCTACAACAGAGTCTACACTCCAAGGGAGTGGCCTTCCAAAAAGTTATCCTTAGTTTTATAAAATATTAAATTATAGAGCTGAAATAAAAGGGGATCATTGCCACACTCCTTCTCCCATCTCGTGATAATTGTGGCAAATCTTACATTAAAAAAAATCCTTATTAAAAAAATTAAAAAATCCTTATTGAGTACACTTGTGACTGGACAAGGAGTGTTAATGTGTAAGTGATGAATCACTAAATTATACTGAAACCAGTATTACACTATATGTTAACTAACTAGAATTCAGATAAAAACTAACCAAAAAATTCCTTATCAAAATAAAAATAAACCCAAACACAATCATGTTTGTTAATTTAAGTTAAAAAGTTTTTTTAAAAAGTCATCCAAAGACTCTAATAATGGCATTTAAGTCATAACAATCCAATCTGTAAGGAAAACTCAAGAAGAAAGAGTAGAAAAATGGGTTAATCTTTCACTGATTTGTTATATAAACAACATGTAGTCTTTCTTCCTAGAGTTCTCCCACTTCTTGGCAAAGTGTTATGCAGCCATTCTAATGCAGCCATTCTAAACCTAAGCATTTCCTTGAAAGGCTGACTAGGGCCATCCAATTAGGTTATAGACCAAATGAAAGACCTTTACAGGGACAATTCCTAACATAAAGTATAATTTAATTTCTAACTTTGAATCAATGTGAAATATTAATCAGTAATCTAGGAAGTGTTATTACTTAGCACATTCAAAGTATGACTATGTGAGGTAATACTACGTATAATACTGACACTGGGAAAAACAAGCCTCATTACTTTGTAGTCACACTTCAAAGCAAATACTATTACCAGTAAACAGTTCTCCTGGCTAAGTTTCCTTGACAACCCACTGCAAATTTACTGCAAAAAACCCCAAAACATTCTTTACTTTAGCCAGAGGCTTTACTCCTTCCTATCTTATAAAACACTAAATGGTGTTTCTGGTCAATAAATTCTGATTCTGAAGCTTGATTTTTAAATATAAAATTATCTGAAAAGAAATTAAATGGCAAAGCTCCTAAATCTGAAAATGACATACTAAGGAAAAAAAAAACAACCCACAGGATTCATTATTTATTCAACAAAAATTCATTAAGCATCATTATAAACCAGGAATGACAGTTGCAGAGGTTTTAAGGCAGATCAGAGCGGGGGACTGGACGACCAGGTATTAGACTTTTCATGAAACTCTTATCACTAAGATAGGTGATATTGGTGCAGAGATGGGTAAATGTACCCATACCCATACCCATAAATGTACCCAATGTACACACCACACCCAACTGCTGGATTTATAATACAGGTGGTCCTACAGAGCAGGGAGAAGTCAACAGGTAGGGCTGGGATAAGTTGTTATCCACATGGACCCAGAGGAAAATCATTATATTGATTAGGGACACATGTATGCAAGGAAAGACTAAAGAAATCCGTAGTAATAATAAACCTAATCGGGGCAGATTTACACAAAGGATTTAATTAAGCTTTGAACAGTAATGTTTTATTTTTCTTTTTTTTGAAGATTTTATTTATTTGACAGAGACACAGCGAGAGAGGGAACACAAGCGGGGGGAGTGGGAGAGGGGGAAGCAGGCTTCCCACCGAGCAGGGAGCCCGATGCTGGGCTCGATCCCAGGACCCTGGGATCATGACCTGAGCCGAAGGCAGATGCTTAACGACTGAGCCACACAGGCGCCCCAGTAATGTTTTATTTCTTAAGCATTATTAAAGCAATTTTAAAAACGTTAA